GTGAAACAATACAGTTAAAAAAAGACAAAAAGAAAAACAAGAATAAAACACTAAATAAGAATTAACGAAAAGCAAAGAAAAGAATGAAATCCACAAAATTAATTAAAAGAAAAAAAACATGAAATACACCAAAAATAAATTTAAACAAAACGTGTTTTCTTTGCCGCACAGATTTGCAAAGCGCTGAGTAAGCATTGAAGTGAGGATGTCTCGATAAAAGATGCTAGACTGCAAACAGATAAAAGCTTTTTGCTAAAACAGCCGAACACAGAAATTCGCAAATTTTGTTTGAAATTTAAAGTTTTTTCAATTTTGGGTCGAAATAAGATCTGTTTTTTAATATTTTCAAATAAAAAATTATACAAAATGTTTGGGATTTAAGATGGCGCTTGCAGCGCTGCATCGACGTAGAAGGAGCCTATTTTGAAAGCTTTTAAAAAATTGTAACGATTGGTTCAATAATTTTTTTTTTAAATCGACTCAGACCTATTACTTTCCGGACAAACCCTGTACACTAAATCTTGTGAAAGAAAGAAATTTTTGGAACAGGATAAATATGAGAACAATTTTTCACAAAAGTTTTGAAATTAATCGAAAACCTATGTACATATAAAGTGTCATAACTAAGCCCTAAATTAAGATATAAAACTCATATTTGACACAGGGAATCGCAGTAGCCGGGCGCCTGTGGGAAAAAAATTAAAAATAAATGGGCGTGGCCCCGCCCTTTAATAAGATTAATATATATATCTCCCAAACCACTAAAGCTACAACAGTTCGCTGAGCACGTATACTACAAAAACTCCTATTTATAGTGTGAAAATGGACGAAATCGGATGAAAACCTCGTTCACTTTCCATATAACGGTACTGTTCAAAACTACTAAAATAAATAAATCAATAAATAAATGCGCCAGAGACGCAAAAACCGCCGACGGGATCGTATGAGAAGGCTTTATAGGGAACGGGGTAAAAATTGAACGATGGACCTGGCGCCGCTTACTTTTGGGTGAGACCCCATATCTGGGGACCTTATCGACCGATTTCGACAAAATTTAGTACGTGGCATTTGACAACAATGATGCCTACTTCTCATATAGCACAATCTTAAATTCCACTTGATTCTTTTACTTTCCAGTACACAAACCAAGAAGCAGTTAACATAACGGGGTTAAACTTTGCACGAATAATGCCTTTATTGTATGCCATCTTACGATCAAAAATTGTTCAGTTGACTTTTGATCGAAAATATCGGTGAGCTACATAATTGAAATTCAGTGACAGTACTTCCCTGATAATGGTATGTTAACATGGCTTGAAAAAGGTTAATACTTCTCTGAGCGACAATATACT